AACAAAACCATTATACCCTGATTTCCCATTTTCAATGGGTTCAGGGTATAAAAAGGATATGCAGTCTATAGTGCCATCTAGGGGCAATGTGGTATACTATTATTTCACTTCTTCAATATCTGTTTCCCTCTAGCGCTTATATTATGAACTAAGTTATATGAACTAAATTGTTGATATTTTTCATACTATATAGCGACCTCTAGCGGTCAAATCTCTCACTGAATTTCCCATTGAATCTCAAACTGTAATTACATCGATATGTTTACAGTGACATTTTCTCGGTTTGATTATGTATCAGAAATACATTCATAATGCCATTGGTAAATAATACATATTGAATTCAGAAAAATTATTTTTCTCTATTCTCTATTGTGAAATATCTTCATTTTACTTATTGTACAGCAATCGCCGTTAAGTATCGATACGCAATATTGTCAACTTATCGCTCTTCCAATTTCAAAATAGTGCCCTATCGATACTTATTAAAAGTACTTTGCTTAACAATCTTGTGACATAATTTACAAAACAGAATGTATTCTATTTAAACAAAAGTGCCATGAAAGTACGCTGGCAGATAGTCAATAGCTGTCTGCGTCGGCACTGGCGCCAGCAAAGCAATTCCGCCACAGTTACAGCAGCTGCTCCAATTACAGGAAACTCAGCTACACCGACATCAACTAATAAACCTGCAAACAGCAACACACGTGAAACGTTCGTTGAGCGCATAGAACGCGGACCGGGTCTGAGAGATTTTTTCACTGTGAAAGCCAAGCGGAAGCTGAGGGAGGAGGAGACCTCGAATGCCGTTAGTAATGATATACCTTACCTAAATGCAATAGACTTCAATGGCCATGGAAGGCGGGTGCACTTCGAAGTATATGGCTGCCAGATGAACACGAACGACACGGAGGTAGTGTGGAGCATTCTGAAGCAACACGGCTACCAGCGAAGTGAAGATGTTGCCAATTCCGATGTCATAATGCTCGTTACATGCGCTGTTCGTGAAGGCGCCGAACAGAAGATCTGGAATCGCTTGCGTCACCTGCGAGCGTTGAAGGAAAAGCGAGGCTCAAAGCGAACCCCTCTTCAATTGACAATACTTGGCTGCATGGCGGAGAGATTGAAGGAAAAACTGCTGGAGCAGGAGCAATGCGTGGATGTGATTGCTGGTCCAGACAGCTACAAAGATCTACCGAGACTGTTGGCCGTCGCTCGCCACTATGGCAACTCGGCCATTAACGTCTTACTGTCTCTGGACGAGACCTATGCAGATGTCATGCCCGTCCGCTTGAACTCAGATTCGCCCACTGCATTCGTCTCGATCATGCGTGGCTGTGACAATATGTGCACCTACTGCATTGTGCCTTTCACACGTGGTCGCGAGCGCTCACGGCCGCTCGAATCAATCGTCCACGAGGTGCGGACACTGCAGGAGCAGGGCGTCAAGGAGGTGACGCTGCTGGGTCAAAATGTCAATTCCTATAGAGATAGGACTTCAGAAAATTCGACCAAAGCTGTTGGCAATACGGCACCCGGTTTTAGCACGGTTTACAAGCCTAAAACTGGCGGATTACCATTCTCAGTGCTGCTGCAAAGTGTAGCTGAGGCTGTGCCTGAAATGCGTATACGTTTCACATCGCCACATCCCAAAGACTTCTCTGACGAAGTATTGCGCGTCATTCGCGACTATCCTAATGTCTGTAAGCAACTCCATCTGCCCGCCCAGTCAGGCAACACGGCCGTTCTAGCAAGAATGCGTCGTGGCTATACGCGCGAGGCGTACCTCCAGCTGGTAGAGCACATTCGGCAAATCTTGCCCAACGTGGGCTTGTCCAGTGACTTCATTTGCGGATTCTGTGGTGAAACGGATGCCGAATTCGAAGATACCATTTCCCTCATCGAACGCGTGCAGTATAACGTGGCGTTTCTGTTCGCCTACAGCATGCGCGAGAAAACCACAGCTCACAGACGCTACGTGGACGACGTTCCAACAGCAGTTAAGACCGATCGACTGAAACGCATGGTGCAGGCATTCCGAGAAGGGGCCACCAAATTGCACAAACGTTTCGAAGGACAGGAACAACTCATCCTGATCGAGGGTAAGAGCAAGCGGTCCGACAGTCACTGGTTTGGACGCAACGATGCCAATATTAAAGTAATTGTGCCTGCAGCATCTCTACCCACATCTAATAAGAATGAGCCCGCGAAAGATATAAATGTGGGCGATTTTGTGGTTGCACGCATTGTTGAATCCAATTCGCAAGTCCTGAAGGGCATACCTCTACACGTCAGCAGCATCGGACATTACCACGGCAGCACAAGTTGAATAAAGAACTGTTTCCAGAGTGGTTAGAGTTTTAATTGAACTTAACTATTGTACATCACGTTTCCATTGGCAGTTCACTGCGGGCGCTTTCTATAGTCGCTAAGGGTTGATCCTCGCTTTTGCTATGGTACTTGGCTATGTTACTCCGATAGAAGTCAAAGATCTCCACACTGGCCTGGCGGCAAATACATTCGATATCATTGAACTGTGCAATCTTGAAGGCGCCTTTCGTTTGTACTAACAACAGGTCTCCATCCACAGAATCAAAGGCAAATGTAAAGCTGGCTTTCTGATGCTGCGTCTCACTTTCCTCAGGGTCTAGAATAAAGTCGCCTTTTTCATTTATGATGCAGTGCACGGCCGCAAAGCTGTACTTCAAGGGCAAGCCACCAATAAGCATAGCTAGACAGGCTGCATTCAAAGCGCACGCGTCTATCTGCAATATAATTGTTGAGAGAATCATTTTTTAAATACAATATTGTCTCCTTACGCTTCCACGATCTTCTAGCTCCTGCACCTGTAGCGACATTTTCGCCCGCGGATAAGCTTCACTTAGGAGCGCCAGTTCCAACACATCTCGTATGGCCGCCTCGCGAATGCGCTCCTTCACCTGGGGCAAACCTGCTTTGGGGCGATAGTTGCACTCCAAGTAGCTACCTTCAATGCTCAGATTCTGTGTCTTCACCTCGATGGGACCGAGCACGGCGGCAATAACAACTGTGGCACCTACAAAATGGTAATGGATCAACCGGCTTCCCAACAGAACACGAGCAACAGTAACAAACCTTGGCTATACATGACGGAACCATCGCATCGGGAGAGCGGATTGAATTTGCAATGCATCTCTCGCAATTTAACTTTGGCATCATTTTCAGTGTTTGTTTTGTTCATTTTTATTGTAATTATTAATATTAATCAAACCGAACGAACAACATGTGAGCATTATCAAAAACGAATTAGAGAGGAGCGAATTTGGCTTACCACTTACTCATCGCAAGCACTGTCACACTTTTGTTTCAGAAAAATATCGAATCAACAGGTTTCAGGAA